GCGTGGCAACGACGTTGTAATACAAGCCCCCCCCTCGGTGTTTGCCATCGGGATTGGGTTTTCGTCGCTTGGCAAAGACGTTGTGAAACAACCAATTCACTTCGTGAACTCGGCAACCAGGTTGCCGTTTTTTTTTACCTTTGTTTTTGTTTTTGGCGGTAACCATAATGGTGGTCGTATATATTATGTTGTGCGGGGTGGAGAACCCTTACTCCGCGCAAAGGGGATAATCGCACGTTGTGTTAAATGGCCGAACATACTCGAGGCAGTTACACAGTGCTTATAACTGTCTCTGGAAGTGAAAGCACCAGAAAATAAATTAAGTCGTACGCAGCTGTCATCCGTACGCGAGGAAGTAAGCACAAGATGCCGAACACCCTTAGCAGGATGCAGCGCACCCTTCATGCGACTCGCCGAATACCTCACGGCGCTTCGCGCTTGGTGATGTGAGAGCCTGGTCCGGTGAGAACCCGGCGTGCTCCGTCCCGGCTTTGTAGGGATGTGAGTTCAATGTACGGCATGCACGACTATGAGTACCCCCCCCCACGCCCCCGACCAATAGCCCGGGCCGGGGGAAAACCGGCATGTCTCTCGGTCCCGGCATTTGCAGAGATGCGAGGTCAAAGGTGAAACGACTATTGCCTGCGTTTGCACGAGCACAAACACGCACACCCTTCCCGACCGACTCATACTTGTTGCAGGGTCACCTCGAGTTCTTCATCTGCAACGCCGACAACGACCCCAACGGCATCCCCACCCAAGAGTGCTTCAACGAATACCCACTCACGCGCGCGGAAGGAGACGATTACAACAGTCCCATCGATCCCGACTTCCCGGGGCGCTACTATTGCGACCCGACTTGCCGCGGGGAGGAGGGCGAGGTGGACCAGACCAAGCCCGTGCACGCCATCTCCGGCGAGAACATGAAGATGCGCTACGTGCTGCCGGACATCGAGTGCTCGCACTGCATCCTGCAGATGGTGTACCGTGAGTCGGGGTGTTTTGTTGTTTGTCGTTCTTGTTGGTGATAATCTTCGGGGGTCTGTGTGGTGGTGGGGTTTCCATCGTGTTGTCGGCGTTTCGGGGGTGGCTACCGTTCTTGCTTCGTTTATTGCTGTTCAAGCTTACATCACACACCATTCGTGAGGTGCACTCTGCTGACTCCAATTGCACGACTGATATCGACGCGACCACACTGCATGTGGTCTGTGTATCATGGTAGGCTCGGTACGCACGCGGATGCGACATCGAACAGCGGTTACAACCACGAGCTCCCAGACCGTCGACGGCGTACGCCACGTACACCCGAACCGGATGTTTCTGTATTGAGAGCATCAGATTGAGGGTGTCGTGCACGTTGGCAGCAGCTACCAGATACGAAACTAGAATATGCACAACGAAAAACGTGTTGGCAACAAAATTCAAAGCAACCGCAAGAGTGCTTCAGTACATTTCGCCCACGCGTCGTGTATCTCCTTTTCTGTGCGTCATCAAACGAACCAGGTTTCCTTGACATCCTCATGCATATACCTCATTACTTACGTCATCCCCCCCCCCCCCCATTTCGCGCGTCAATGCTTTGTATGTATCGATTGAATAACATGAAATGTTGGCAATAAAGACACCGGGAACACCTGCTACCACATCGGGTACGATGACTTCGACCCTCCCTCGTGGCCTGGCGACTGCGCCACCACCAAGGAACAATGGGTTAACACTACCGTGGAAGCGTGCGGCCAGGAAGGCTACTACCCCGAGGAGTTCTGGGCGTGCTCTGACTTCAGCATCACGAGCGGTGAGCGAGTAGCTAGCACTCGGTTCGAGGCGGCAGGTGCCTGTACGGATTGATGTTTCACGGGGGCTGTGCCTGCCTACCAAAGGTGGTGCTGGTTTCTGTTTGAAGTTCTGCTGTTGCCATGTGCGGGTGGAATCACTCGGGATAGAAGTTGATGACCACACGCCATGTTTGTTGCCTTATTACGAAGATTCTTGTTCCAGGCCATCGTTCACACGAGAGCAACCAGAGGTTGTCGACTTTCCGGCCCCTACAAACACCTCGCAGACTATCATCGCGGATCAGTCACCCCGCCGTCCCAATGCCGTTGCCGACGATACTTACTCAACATCGATGCGTCTCGCCTTGCAGTGTAACTGTCCTGGTCTATTTCCAAACCCCATCCGTGCTTGCTCTCAGACGCTCTTCCCCTTAGCTTGTGAGGGTCCACATTAGACTAGGCAGTGGCCACAGGAGGAAGCAAGTAGTGCCTGATGCACACCCCGTGCCTACCCTCTGCTTGAACGCCCCCCCCCCCTCCCGTTGCAGATGGGCCACCGAGCTCGACCCCGCCGGAGGAGACAACTCCCGCGGTTACCGAGCCAACCGGTGAGAGGCAGAGTGGGGGCGTCCGGATTGGCTCACGAACTCTAGCCCTTGGAAGCTTCCTGTTGCTCCTGTTGTTGATCACACGACTCTGCAGAGGGCAAACTCCGTACATATAGATATAGATTCATGATTGTTTTGTCGCGCCGTGCACAACTGACCACCCAACACCCAATGACCGTGTCTTGGTCCGCTCGATTTTTGAAAAACCCCTCCACGGCAACAATGCGAACAACAGGGTGTGCCGAGGAGTGGCAACAGTGGTGAGTTCGAAGGGTTCGGTCTCTCGTTTGTTCGTATTGCCCCATGCACGTGTACGCTTGTTGCATGAGTCACACGTACCATCAAGAGTGGTCTCAGATAGGTAGCCTGTTCTCGTTTTCGACGGGCTTTCGCTGGTGAGGAGATGGTCGACAGGAACCGGTGCGGGAGTACGGCGGCAAAGCAGCCCAATCCTTTGCCCGAGGAAAAAAACAGCCTCTAGCGTCAAAGACACACATACACAATCCCTTCTCTTGGTTTTGGAAGCAGAACCATTCCGCCGCCATCGCGAAATGCAGGACTGCTCCCGTCACCCTTCCCTCCTGACATCGACGCTTCTGTATTTCTACTTTTTTTTTCTAATCGACCGTCTATCTCTCGTACGACTCTTTGTGCTTCCATTCCTTAGCGGTGGTGCCGGCGGCGACGCCGTGGGTGGCGTCTGGACAGGCCCCACCTGCTGCGTGCCTGGGACCACCTGCTATTACAAGGACGTGGTAAACTTGTCGCGAAGAATGTGATCGTTTGTGTAGGCATCTCTGTTCCGGTTCTCAGTTTGTTGTAGACCATGCCTTCGAGATGCGTCAACAAACGTTGGGCAATTATTCCCATGGGAGAGCGCAGCTTGGAACACCAAGACAAAAATTAGGTCTGGACCTCCTCTGTTTCTACCACTACTTTGTCTTCGCGGCTGCCGTGCCCTGCGGGAATGGCGGCTGACCTCAACGAACCATCTTTCCACGTGTTCCTGTGTCTGCCTTCTTCTTCTCTCCCTATACAAAACCTGTTTCTTCAGCAGAAAACGCCGCTGCACCGTTCGTTGTTTTCTCCGTGCCAGTCCGCATTTATTTTATTCGCTCCCCACCGCAGGAATTATTTTATGCGCTCCCACCGCAGGAAGAGGACCACCAATGAAAGTGTTTGTCTCTAATCGGGCAGTGAGTCGCCCCCCTTGTGTGGCTGTGGCTCGTGCATGCCACCTTTCTTATCCCCTTACGTACACTGCCTATTGCGCGAAAAGACCCAAAATACAATGCAATATGTGTCGGCATGCCTTTTCTTGTGTCATCACCGCAGTATTGGTCTGATTGCCGCCCGGCGGAATGTGCCGAGGAGTGGGAACAGTGCGGCGGTTCTGGCGGGGGCGCCGTGAATGGTGTCTGGACCGGTCCTACCTGCTGCGAGGTTGGGACCACCTGCCATTACAAGGACCAGGTAAGCTTGTCATCGTCGTAAACGTTGCGACGCGCGCATCTCCATCTGGATGACGACAGATGTTTCAAGCGATGATCGGTTGTTTTCAGTAACGGAATACGAAGCCAAGCACGCAAAGACGAAAACAAAGCATATAGAGCTCCCCTCTCGGTGTATGCCTACTATACCGTCTCTTCACGGTTGCCATGCCTTGGATTGTGCGGTTGATCTCGTAGATGGACCGTTTCGACGTTTGCCTGTCTGTCTTCCTCCATATACGGTTTTGCGTTCTTTGTCGTGTGCGTGTGCCTTCTCGTCGCCTATGCATCCGACGAATGCCATTTCCCCTACCTTGAGTAGTTCGACGACGACGAATTCCCAAAGCAAAGGTGGGCGTGTACGCGCGCGGGTTTTTGTTTTTTTCTGCGTCGCGTACATATCGTGTGAATGCGGCACGCTGAGCTCATCGACACGTTCCGGTCATCGTTTCCATTCTTCGTGTGTTTCCCTGCGGTTTCTACTTGGAGAAACTACTTTGCAATCCAGTTACCGATGGCTCACCGACGCCCAGCCTACCCCCGACAACGAGACAATGAAACTCACGAACCACTCTCTCCTGGTGTGTTTTCGTGTTAATAATTGCTGTGCTCGTAGCCTGAACAATGCAAACTGCGTGCGCTTGGCAAGTTCGAATGCGAGTCGGTCTCACCTCGGTGCGCCCGACTCCTTCAACCCTCTGCTAGTGCGACACCCCCCTGCCCCTCTGACCCAACATATCCTCCAACAAAAGTACCCGTTGCTACGGCAGCACACGCCGTCGCTCGACTGTCGTTTCCTGTAGGGTAAGCCACTTTTCTTTCACACCGACCGCGGGAACCGGGCGACTTCGTTCTCTCCCACCTGGCTGGCAGTAAGGTTCATGACCCTCCCTGTGCGCGTTGCTCCTGTGTCTCAGCCACCTTTCTTCTCCCCTCACAAACACACGCTGTTCCGCGTTACCTCGGCGAAAACGCCCTATCGTTGTGCATTTCTTCGGTGCCGTCACCGCAGTATTGGTCTGATTGCCGCCCGGCGGGTTGTGCCGAGGAGTGGGAACAGTGCGGCGGTTCTGGCGGGGACGCCGTGAATGGTGTCTGGACCGGTCCTACCTGCTGCGAGGTTGGGACCACCTGCTATTACAAGGATCAGGTACGTTTGTGTGTGGAGGGAGATAGGCCATCTGAAGGGACGGGGTTGACGTTAATGTTTAATGGTGGTGCGTGTGCAATCTTGCCCATCTGCCAGCAATATGTAATTTCTTTTTGTTCCAACCTCCTATTTTTTATCTACATTCACTTTCAGCAACGCCAACGCCAACAACAACGAAATAGCAGAACATGTTTGTTTTCCGTAGGAAACTAGGCCTCCCTCGAAGAGCCGCTGTTTCACATGTATGTGTTCTGCGCAATGATTTGGGCTCGCTCTATCAATAGAGAAGTGGTCCACTAGAAAAACATTTACAATCCTTTCTTGCTCTCTTTGCTGTTCGCTTGATCGCTGGCAGTATTGGTCCGAGTGCCGCCCAAATGACTACAACGATCGCTGAGCTTGAGTGCAGGCCCGGCCGTCGCCATCAAACGCGACCCCTCCCCCAGCTGCCATTCGGACGACAACGACGGCGACCGCCGGACAGAAAAACGAGCGGCCTGCTTGCACAAGACGAATGCGGAGAGGGAGGGGGCGAAGCCCACGTCGTTGCTGTTGGAATATTTGACACTACCGTAGCTCCAGCATTAGGTATTCAGCCTGACTACTGTAGTTCAATATTGTCAACGTCGCTATGTCATGTCGTCGATAAATTCCGTGTGGTCAGTAATCCTCGGAATAAGGATACATACATAGTTGGTTGATGTTAATGTTTCATATCCAGAAGATGCATAGTCTGGATATCTGTCTCTCCATCTGCTCTCGTCCTTTTCTTTTTCTTTTTCTTTTTCTTTTTCTTTTTCTTTTTCTTTTCTTTTTCTTTCTCTTGTTTTTTCTTTCTCTTTTTCTTTTTCTTCTTTTTTTTCTTCTACCTTTTTCCAGTCTAGGGTTACCTCGCATAGCGTGCAGAGGCGAGCGGTGGCCTAGACTATCTGTCGCTTACTTTTTTTTGTCTTGCGGACCCTGCGGGTCCATCTTATTTTCGTGCACCTTGTTTGGGTATGTTAGCCTGTGACCACGGGAATCGACCCCGTCAAGTGTTAGACTAGTACAGACAGAAGACGGTGCTGGGCAGAGAGAACAGATCGGTTTTTAGTGTGAAGACAGCAACAACAACAACAACAACAACAACAACAGATGTCGCAAGTAGCTCAGCCTTGCGTGCTTGGAAATATTTTGCATCGTCTAGTTGTCGCAAGTAACTCAGACTTGCGTGCTTGAATTAATGAATATTCGTATGCGCTCAGCAGCGGGATTTAGAAGTAGTTGCTGTATTGTGCGTTTTGTCGTACGTCAATTAAGTAATCACCAGTGCTTGCAAGTACAGTGCTTTTTCTGCATACGTGGTAAGTTCGAGAGCATGGTGTTGAAGTAATCTTTTCCAGAAACGTATCTTAGCTTACCAGTACCGTCCTCTGAACACGTGTGATTGGTCAACGTTGTGATTCCATGATTTCGAGGATGAGCGCGCACTCGCCCCATCCTCTCACTGCTTCTTCGGGGTTCTCCAACCCTCCACTTTCCTGGGCCTCTGCTTTTCTGGAGAGATCCACCTCTGCGGTTTCACTCTGTTTCTCCACATTCTTTCTGGTCTCGACTGATGAGTAACTACATTCTCACCAACCCATCTTCTTCTCCTTCGGACTTCCTGCGTACTCCGAGCGAAGCCTCTCGTACTAAGAGTCCAGCGGCACAACAAGTGACATGGTACGGGCGCTGCAGCTGTACAGGATACGCACAGGCTCACACGCAGCACTTTAGTTTTGCCTTTGACCTGTGACTTTGCACAGTCGGGTCCTCTGCATATTTACGTCAGTGGTCGTTACTGAATAGGGTTTGTTCTGCTTGCGCGACGCACTGCGGAGAGATCACGTGCCAAACTCAAGAACCGCTTATTGTGAACGAGGCTCAACGCTTGTTGGTTGCCTCAAACCGAGCACCCTGTTCCTATTTTCCTAGTTCTTATTTAGAGCAGGCATCTCCCTTGTTCTTATTCTTATTGCTACGCCGATTTTCCCATGCAGGAGACACAGGCAGACAGATGGTTCCGATGGGTGGGTGGATTTCAAGAGAATAATATGCATAGCGTGTTTAACACCAGCAGTATATTCGCCCCCCCGCAGCTGCACCAAGTACTCCCAAACGGGCACCTCGATACACGCATCAAATTGACGGTTTTGAAGAGCGTAGTCGTACCGCCGCTAGAGTTCGCCGGAGAAGTATGGGAAGGGAAGAAAAAGGTGGTCAGAGAGCTCGAGGCGGCCCAGATGAAAGCAGCGAAAGCCATCCTAGGATGCTCCAAGCGCACAAGTAATGCAGCCGTCAGGGCAGAACTGGGGATCCAATCCCTACGATCGGGAAGAGACGCCAGGAAGCTGACATGGCAGTATCGCATGTGCGACATGGGAGCGGCGAGGTTGCCGAGAATAGTCTGGGAGGAGAAGTGGGAAAACAAGAAGAGGGGTAGACACCCCACGGAGGGGGTCAAGGTTGTAGGTGACGTATGGAAAGGGTCAGAAATTGACGAATACGATACGCTGGATACGGAGGGTCTAGACGGGGTTCAAGAAAAATACATGTGTTGCTTTTGCCGAGAGAGAAGAACAGAATCTAAGGAAAGAAACCAAGGGTAAGGAGGGTCTGTAGAAGTGGTGTACGGAATGTTGAAAGAAGGAATAGGGTTCAAGGAGTACAGAAATAGACCAATGAATATCCAGAGACAAAGCAAAGGTCAAATTTTGGTCCGAGAACGGTCTTCGAGAACATAGACGAAGATTTAGGAAGGTAGAAGATGACGACGACAACTTCAAGCTCCGAGCGCGAAGATCTTGTTCATGTAGTAGTTGCGAAACGTTCGTTGTACAAGTAGAGAGAATTGTACATGACTGAGCTGGGAAAATTAGAAGGAAGGTACAGGGACATGGTTGATGGAATAGACAGGAGAAGACGGTAGCTGTACTGGGGCATAGCAAGCGGATTGAAGAGACGGCAAGTGATATATATACATTTTTGGGACACCGTTTGCAAAATAGGAAGAAGCGATTGGCCATGTGTGATCGGTCCTGTGGGGAAATGCTTCGTGCCGTCGAGGGCGCGTGGTGAGTGGTCTAACCGCTAAGGCATGCGAAACATGAGAGTACGCCCCCCCATTTCACGAGGTGCTCCCCCCCCCGTCCCGATTCTGAGACTAAATGTAGCTGGGGTCACCCCCCACCTTCCTGAGTTCTTATCGCGCCGTCACCGTGTTTTGGGGCTCTGTTTTTATCTGTGTGCGCATTGGTACACCACAAACGCGGGTTCTTGTTCTTATTGCCGCGTCGGAACTGAGCACTTGTTCTTATCGCCAAGTTCTTACTGATCGCCAAGTTGTTAGATTTTGAAGTTTTCGAGGCCCATGTTCTTAACTGGTAAGTTCTTAAGTGGTGGCGCGTTCTGGGCTTCCCACATTATCGTGTAAATGGATTCACTGTTATAGCAGTGAAAATCCCGTTTATAACAGTGAATTTCACTGTTATAATAGTGAACTGTAACTCTTACAACAGTGAGAAGCACTCTTGTAACAGCGATAGACACTTTCATAAGCGTGACGCCACTTGTACAAAAGTGATAGTCACTTTTACAAAGGTGATATTGACTGCTATAAACGTCACTCCCTCCCACAATGAAAGTGAAAGCCACACTCACTTTCACAGACACTCCTACAACAGTCAAATCACTATTACGGGAGTCATTTCACGGTATGAAAGTGAATGATACTTTTATGAGAGTGACTTGCACCTCACTTTCATAAAAGTGCAGAACTAGTCCACGATACTATCACATGCGTGACTTTCTTCACTTTTACGAAAGTGAAGACAAGTGACGAACGATTTCTTCACTTTCATTAAGGTGCATGATCAGTGCACGGTGCATATCACGTGCGTGACTTTCGTCACGTTACGATAGTGACGTCGTATGAACATAGGGTTGACTGCGTGTCCTTTGATGAAAGTTTTGCTTGTGTGCTGGCGCTAGGGCTAATGCTTAGCTCGCTGCCGACAATCTCCGAAGGCGCCCCTTGAAGTTTTTTTTGCTCTTGTGTTATTTGGTTGTGGTCTCTGCGAGGGTGAAAGGGTCCCCGCAATACCAGATGGTCATACCACTACCCCAACTGCGTATCCCCGAAATCCATCCCAGACCAGTATCTTTACCCAAGTACCACAAACAGCCCCCTGCTTGGATAAAGGTACTGTCGTCCAAGCGAATTACATGCATGTACCGTTCCAGGAACGGCAACTAGAAACACACAAAAATATACCATCAAAGATACACCTCATACGTCAAGAGCCTACTTACCTTACCCCCATGAGAAAACTCAACCCGTAAAAAAGCCAGAAATATTCTTGGAAAAATATCCAACAAGATTCAACATTACATCAGCGTTGCGTCTTGCAGAACAACGGACAATACCGGAAACGCGACATCAAATCAGAATCAACAACCTCAAACAACGCCGTACCTTTCAACCTCTTGGTCAGCACATAATCATTATTCGGAAAGCACATAGGCCCCAACCATTTACTAATCAGCACATACCAAATCCTTCCTTCAATACAACATCCAGAAATAAATACCCAGGACTGCAAAGACAGAATAACGTCCAAAAACCCAACACAAAAATGACGCTTGCAACTGTCGTTGCCTTTACATCAATAATTCTCATTCCATCGCCCCCCTCGCTCCGTGAGATTTAAATAAAGCCACTAGAAAACGGGAACAGACAATATATAGTGCAGACATCTGCCGTTATCCTAAGGCAATTCAACACCTTGTCAACGCAAAACATGAAAAAATCGTACTGCTACAAGGGGATCATGGCATATGATACTTGTATGCAGTACGCCAACACAAAAGAAACCGCCCTTCCTTGTGAACATAATGATAACACACAATCTACGACAGCCAGTCAATGATCTCATGCACCTCCATTCTGGCAGATCGCATGACACACGGTGTTCTTTCAATGTCCCAAAATACAAGTAACACAAACCTCCAAATATAAGCGCATGAAACACGATAGTATCACATCGCTACGATAGCCGACTAACGACTTCAGGCATCTCCATTCTGAACGTCGCTTGATCATCATCGCGCACGATACGACATGTTACGTTCCCCCGAAAAAAAACAATCCACACATGACAAGAAAGTTAGCCGAAATCAAGCGGAAAAAATTCAATCCCCACAACGACCAGCCGAAATCACCATTCGGAAGCACGAGGGCACCAACCACGAGTACAGTCACTACGACACGTCGGATCCTTCCTCCAAACAAATTATCCGACATCCACTAAACGATAGAGAGTGCACTCGCCTACACGAAATCCGTGTTTCTACCGTTGGAGAAGTTTCTGCCGTTGGTGAAGAATCAAATAGAAAAACAAAATATGCAGACAGCCCGCCCCCCTGCTGTTGCACATAAAAGCAAGCTCGCAACGATTTGGGCACGATCGAAGATGTAGCACCTGTTCCCCACACTCCCGCACAAGACATCACTACGAAAGCCCAACCACTGAGCCCTTAGATCTCCTAAGCCTCACGTGATGTTCTCATCGCGAATGCGCATCACACGCTGCTACCAAAAACCTCCAAGTCAACACGAATGTTGTTGTTGTTGTTATTTCCTTCACATAAAAAAAAACATCCCGTTCTCTCTATCCAGGACCTCTTTCTGTCTGAATCTCTCCGAACTAATCCAACACTTGACTCGGTCAATTTCCGTGTTCACAGGTTAACATACCTAGAAAAGGTATACCAAAATGAAATGGACCCCAAGGGTCAGCAGAGCGGTAAAATACAAGAGAAAAATACAATCAGAAGCAAAAATATTTTTTAGCCCTCCGCTCCCCTCTACACGCTATGTATGTGAGGGTAAATCAAAGAAAATAAAAGTGTCGAAAAAATAAAATAAANNNGGGGGTGTACTCATAGTCGTGCATGCCGTAGTCGTTTGACCATGGACCTCGCATCCCTACAAAGCCGGGACGGAGCACGCCGGGTTCTCACCGGACCAGGCTCTCACATCACCAAGCGCGAAGCACCGTGAGGTATTTGGCGAGTCGCATGAAGGGTTGTTCGGCATCTTGTGCTTACTTCCTTGCGTACGGATGACAGCTACGTATGACTTAATTTATTTACTGGTGCTTTCACTTCCAGAGACAGTTGTAAGCACTGTGTAACTGCCTCGAGGGTGCTTGACCATTTTAACACAACGTGGTGCGATCATCCCCCGTTGCGCGGAGTGAGGTTTCTCCACCCCGCACAACATGATCTACTCGACCACCGTTATGGTTACTGCCAAAAAAAAAAAACCGAGGTGAAAAAAAAAAAAACGGTAAC